GTCATTGGTTACACGTTGTTTTCATGCTACAATGGCACAGTTGGCTCTTTTAATGGAGGACGTAGCTCGCAGTGACCTATGCGGGGATTGAACCGGCAACCTTGGTGTTATCAGCACAACGCTCTAATCAACTGAGCTAGCCGGTTACCCCTATCCCTGCTGTCATGACCCCAATACCTAAAGAACCCGAATGCCTCCCACGAGGACCACCAGTCAGAAATCTGCTCTGTCTGGCTCTAGAATGGACTGGACAGATTTCACAAATGTCATGGGCTAGTCGACTCCATCTCTGAGGACGTGAAAAAGTCCCTTTGCAGACAGCCACCAATCCATTAGGCTGGAATTCTGGATTAAAGCATTATATCCAGGGATATACTTGGTAGACACCTTTTTGAAAGCTTCAATAAAGCAATTAAAAGTGGTCAGAGTGGATCTGTCTTTCTAAGCTGAATTACCTTTCCTCCGCTCAGCCAGGCTGCCGGAATCTTTCATTTCCACCCAGACTGTCCCGACAAAAGCAGAAGCAAACAAACTCCCCCAGACAGACAAAACTGAGCTAAATTCTAATCTTCCCTGCGTTTCTCGGCTTGTGTCAGAAGTTTCATGGCAGTAATCTTCATTAGTATCTGATTGCCAGAAAAGATAAATTCCTTACTATCCAACATAACCACGTACTTAGAGACTCTGTTTGGCGCTGGCTGCTGGAAAAACTCAGCAGTAAAGCCACTTTGTACACAGGAGTTAAAATGGCACAACGATGCCCTGGCCCGAGGCTTTCTGTTTTGACTTTTACACTTCAACTCACTCGACTTTTGCTCTGCTTTGAGCTTCTCCACTTAAAGTTCCCTTTGAAGGCACTTCTTGTTCTGTAAATCTTCAAGCAGCCTGGATCAAACAGTCTCACTCTGACCCAACCAGCATAAATGACCAGCCCAGGAATATTTAAGCTTGTTTGGGCCTGCACATTCCCCAGGATGGTAAAGCCCGTGAGATTCTAGGGAATTATTCAGGGAGTGGGCGCAGAAGCAAAGAGTGGCACATGGATTGGCCATCCACCAAGGCCACCTCCCCCAGACACTCAGGGTGGCCATAGCTGTGAGAAATCAGACAAGCCCCTGAACACACTGATAGTGGCTCTCTAAACACTTCTATGGCCCCTGTACCTGCCGGGACACTTGCCTGTGGCCCAGGCATAGCTCATTTCTTCCCAGGCCACGACTCCTTTCCCTGACACTTCAGTTCAGCCCCCGCCGAAAGGGACCAAGCGAAGTAATAGCCCTTTGCCTTCCAGTCAGGAGGAATCATGGTTCCTCACATCTACCCCGTTTCAGGCGAAGAGAAAAAATTCTCTCCACTTCATGCTTCCCCGAAGTCGATCCTGAGATTCCTTAGGTTGTCCAGGTGGCCCAGGATACCCTTCCTAGAATGATGGACACAGGTGTCCCTGCTCCTGAGAGCTTGCTCTGAGTTCCAAGTCTAAACAATCTGGGTTATTTATTCATTCAGCCAATAAACATTCGAGAACCCACCGCATACCAGACATTAAATTAGGCACGGGGGATACACCAGTGAATGAGACAAAGTCCTTCCTCACCTCCAGGCAGCCTACAGCCTAGTGGAGAGGGGGACACAACAAACCCACATACCAATAAACAAGTTCATAAAGCAGTAAATGCTATGAAGGAAGTAAAACAGGGCAACATGACAGAGAAATGGGAGGCGTAGCAGGGGCTACTGCCGTTAGGGTGGTCCGGGAAGGCCGCTCTGAGAGGGACATTTGAGCTGAGAGGTGATGATGAAAAAAAAGCTAAGTCTTCATGTATCTGCAAGCAGAGCATTCCAGAAAGGAACAACAAGTGCAAGGGCCAACACCCCGAGAAGGGAGCAAGATTTATCTTGTTAGAGGAACAGCAGAAAGGCCGGTGTGGGTGTGAGCAGAGCAAATGAGAGGGAGAGTGGCTGGAGACGGGTCAAAGGGTCAGGAAGAGACTCAGGGGATCCGGGGGCCTCGTGGGCTGGGGGAGACGCTGCCAGAAGGCAATAAGCAGGGAGTGAGCAGGTCTGTTCTTTAAAAACATCGCTCTGGGGCCGGCCGAGTGGCGCGTTGGTTAAGAACTGGCTTGGGACGCCAGAGGGCCCCGGTTCGGATCCCACATATGAGGGCCAGTGACACTGCCCTCTACAGCTAAGATGCTGAATAACAGCTCAACCTGGAGCTGGACTGCTGTGAGTCGCCGGCGACGGTGTAGGCTGCAGCCCCTGCTGCAGTGGGTTGCCATGGGCTACCGTGTATATCCAGCAGCCAGCGAGAGCGGCCAGCAGCCGCAGTGAGCAGCTGTCCAGAAGCCGGCAACTGATCTGCCTCGCCCGGGAAGAGTGCAATGATGGTGCCAACTTGGGCCAACTTGGGCCAGTGAAGCAACATCCTCCACAACTAGATTGAAGAATAAAACGACAGCAACTTGTCTGTTCCCCTTCCCCCAATTCCCCAGCACTGTTCCCATCCCCCCAATTCCCCAATAAAANTGATAATACCAACATGGGCCAGTGAAGCGACGTCCTCCACAACTAGACTGAAGAACAAAAGGACAGCAACTTGTCTGTTCCCCTCCCCCAATTTCCCAAGAAAATCTTTAAGAAAAAAAAAAAGTTTGGGGTTTTTTTTTTAAGTATATCTGATAGAGGTTGGGAAATGAAAGGGGAAGAGAAGTGAAAGGAAGGATGGGGGGACTCATTTTTCGTCTCATATCTTGGGAACTAAAAAGATACAATCTGTGGTTAATGAAGCAAGAAATGGGTGTTTAATTCTGTTACATGAAATTGTAGAGTTGATTAATGAAAGAGCAGAAAATAGTGATTTAACTATATCAAGAAGAATGAGCAGGGAAAATACAGGGGTACAACTCAACAGAAAGTGTAGTTGATAAACAACAACAAAAAAGGCATTATAGGAACTGAAAACAGAAACAGCTGAAAAGAAGTTGCCTTAGAGGAGAAGGATGAGAGGTGGGGAGAAAAGGGACATATAAGCCCTTCTATACCATTTTATGTTTTGACTATATGTATTTATTAATTTGATTAAATTTTTCAAGATGAAATGGGGGGAGGTCTTTAACCTAGTTAGTTCCCATCATGACAGGTATGGAAATGGAACCCACCAAAAATGATTGTCATTCCCAGACAAAGGACTGAAATCTTCTATATTAAAATGGAAATGAGTGCTCTTAAGAATTCCACATATCAGAAGATGATGATAGAGATTAATTTCTCTGGGAGGACATAACCCACCATTAATATAAAAATGTGGATTAAGGCCGGCCAAGTGGCTCAAATGGTTAAGAGCTCACTCAAAAGTTTGAGCTCTGAGTAATAGCAGTTCGATGCCTGGCCCGAGCTGAGCAGCCACTGAGCTGCCAACAGGTGACAGGATGGCTCAGCTAAAAAAAAAAAAAACCCGTGGATTATAAACCATAAATGTAAAGGGGAAGCTGTAACTGAACACACATAACCCAACATCACCGACAACTGGATCACATTTTAATGACACATTCTCTAAAGAATATCTATTTTCCTTTATTTAAGTGGTTTTATCAACGATGTACATTCTGGGCCGGCCCAGTGGCGCGTTGGTTAAGAGCTGGCTTGGGACGCCAGAGGGCCCCGGTTCGGATCCCACATATGAGGGCCAGTGACACTGCCCTCNTGGAGCATTTTACAGTTTACGAAAAACTTTAATATGTGCTATGACACTTTATACTTACCACATGATCTTTCCAGTAGATGTTGTTATTAATTCCATGTTATAAAATGGGAAACAGGGGCCAGCTGGGGAAAAAAAAATAGTTACTTGTTCAAGGTCACAGTAAGTAGGTCCTGTGGGAATTCGAATAATCATGGCAGATTCTTACTTGGCACTCACGTGCCAGGCCCTGTTCTAAGCCCTTCACATCATTCAATCCTACAGCAGCCCTATTTTAATCTCATTTTACAGATGAGTACACTGAGGCACAGAGCCATTGAGACACTTGCCGAAGGCCACCCAGCTGATAAGTGGTGGAGCCCAGATGAAAACCCCAGCAAGCTGGAGGTGCAAAGGCACAGTCAGGGGAGGACAAAGGCCTTTGCTAAGAGAGCCGCAGGTTTTCATTGCTTAGTCCAGTGTGTGACCCCAGCTCTGGAGGCTCAAAGGCCTAGATTTGCGCACTCGCTCAAGAGCGGACCCATTTCTCCAGGCAGGCTCATGTTAATCAAACTCACAAGACTGACGGAAGCGACGCCCTGGATGCCAAGCCACATGACAATCAGGGGGTTGTTTGCTCAGCGTGACAGAAAAAAGAGACTTCGAGGATTCAGGTTTAATGAAACCAGGCTGACACTGGCCGGCTACAGTATNAAAACGACAGCAACTTGTCTGTTCCCCTTCCCCCAATTCCCCAGCACTGTTCCCATCCCCCCAATTCCCCAATAAAAATCTTTAAAAAAATAAAAAACATCACTCTGGCTGCTGGGAAGAGAACAGACTCGGGGACAAAGAATGAAAGAGGGACTTCAGGCAGGGAACTAGACTGAGACAATGAGACGTGACAGGGTACAGGTCATATTGTGGAGGTGAGGGCTGCTGGAACTCTAGAATAAAGATGATAAATCCAGAGTTTGTAAATATTCACTAACTATCCTTGCATGAGTAGCTGTGTGTGTATACACACACACACACACACACACACACACACGCGCGCGCGCACACTCACTCCTTAGGCACACAGTGCAGGGTGGTGGCCCAGACTCCAGATTCTAGAGCCAAAACGCCAACTCACCCACTTGCTAGTGATAAAACTTGGTAAGTCACTGAACCCCTCAGTGCCTTGATTCCTCATCTATAAAATGGGGCCATAACCAAGGCACCCTCATGGGGCTGTCCTGAGGGTGAAATTAGTTGCTGTAGGGGAGAGCACCTGCCACATAGTGCTTGTTTCCTCTGTAATGAATTACCACAAATTTAGTGGCTTAATGAAAACAATGCAAATTTATTCTCTTACAATACTGGAGGCCAGAAGTAAGAAATCAGTTTCAAGCGGCTAAAGGCAAGATGTCCTCAGGGCTGGTTCCTTCTGGAAATTCCAGGAAAAGATCTTGTCCGTGCCTTTTCCAGCTTCTAAGGGCTGCGGCATTCCTGGGATCCCGGCCGCATCACTGCAAACTCAGCTTCCATTGTCACATTGCCTTCACCTCTTGTGACCTTCTTGCCCCCCTTTCATAAGGACCCTTGTGGTTCTATTTGGGGCCTACCTGGATAACCTAGAATAATCTCCTCATCTCAAAAACCTCAACTTCATTACACCTGCACAGCCCCTTTTGCCGTAGAAGGTAACTAACGCGCACAGGTTCTGGGGATTAGCACACAGGTATCACTCGGGGGCTATTCCTCAGCCCACACACGTGGCAAGCAATAAATAAAGGTTCATTACTATTATTATCATCGTTATTCCTCCCTCGGCAGCTCCAGAGCATAGCCCTGGCCCCCTCCCAAGCTCTGTGGGAGAGAAAGGGATGTGGGGAGACCTCTGTGTATCTCCCAGAAGCCCCCTGAAACCAGGCCCGGAGCCAGGTCAGAGCTGAGGGTGATGCGGGCTGCATCAGGCAAAGGCCTCAGTCCCCAGCTGGTCCATGTGAGGGGACTGGGAACAGAAAGCCGACGAGGAGGAACATGCTGACAGGCCTTGTGTGGGGTGGGGGAGGGCACCGGCTAAGGCTTCCTGACGGAGCTGTATTCCGTGAGCTCCTCATGGATCCCATTGGGTTGGTGGGTGATAAAGACATTCATGTTGCTGTAGGTTGGCTCCTGATCCGAGGTGTCCAAAGACAGAGCTGCATAGGAAATGTCCTCCTTCGAAATGGAAGCCTGCAATAAAGATGCTTGAGTCAGGGAGGCTGGGAGGAGGCTGTGCCCATGGTCAGAGGAGGCCTCCATGAGGCTAAGGGACAGAACCCCTCAGGGCTCCTGAAGTCCACTCCCAGGCCCTCCAACTCTCCTCCCTCCAATCTGCCAGGCACCCTGAGCTCCCCCCGCAGCAGAAGACACTCTCGCTCAGCTCAGTGCCAGGCAGCCCAGTCCGCATGGAGTCCCAGGGTACTTAGCCTGCCCAACACAAGGACCATGTTTGCCCAGGCTTTGGGTCCCCAGTGCTGAGACCTGGTACAGAGACACTTTGGGAGCCAGTATGGAGCCAAAAGCCTAGGGGAGCTCAGCAGGCAAGTCTTTCAATGACTGCCACTTTGCCTAGTGCCCACCCTCCTCTGTGCCCACCTGGATGAGAGCCCACCCTCAAAGGGAGAACAATGGCAGGTCTGGCTCTGAGCCACACCAGTACACACCATGGTGACGTAGTCCACGTCCACCTCGTTGTCTTGGGCAGAAGGGCAGGACTTTGTGGAGGCCTTCTTCTGGGAGGAGCTGGGGAAGGTTCCATTCTGAGTCAAGGTCAGGTTGGCATAGCAGATGTTATTCTCCAGGGGCTGGGATGTCTAGGAGAGAAAGCCCAGGTTCCTCTTCTGCAGGACACCAGCCTTCTGCTTTCCTGGGCCCCCCCTCTCCCAGCTTCCTCCGCAACCTCACTTCTCAGTCCCCCACACTGCCTCCTCCTTGCCTCCCTCCTTTCTGGCTGTTTCCAGCACCCCCCTCCGTTCTCCCAGGCCTTGCAGCTGGGCCGTGAATATATGGACACTTGGGTATATGGTTGGTCTGATACATGTGGACCTCGGTGCTCCTGGGAGCTGGAGAATGAGGAAGGCGGGGAAAGGAGCTGTCTGGTATCTCTGGTCTGACCTCAGAGACTTTCTTACCTGCTCTGGGGATGTCCCAGCAGCTAAAAGACAAAAACAATCAGCATTAGAAAGCCTGTTCTGAGACTCAGAGGGGCCCCCAGGTCTGGGTGAGAGAAATACGGAAGGAAAGAGGCACATTAGGCTCCAAGCTCAGAGAGAGGAGACCTGTTCTATTAATAACGCTGACTCCTCGGAAGACACTCTGTGACATGGGGCACTTCACCCCTCTGAGCTTCCATTTTTTTCTACCTGAAAAAAATAAGGAGACCTCAGCCCATCGGTTCCCCATGGCACAGAACTGTGACATCAACTGATCAGTGGCCCTGCCAGCCATCAGCTCCTCTGGGATTAAGTTTCCTCCTGTGTAATCTCAGGCTTAGCCTGTAACTCCTGCCGGAAGTTCTGACTAGAACTCCATTGCTTGCCTACCTGGCTTGTCGTTCACACCTACCTTCCCCGGCCACCCAGGCTGTCTAATCCCTCCCTCCCCGGCTCCCAGTGCCCTTGACTTATGTCTGTCTCGTCGCCTTTGTCCCACTGGGTTCTGGTTAGTCTTCAGGTGGGCTGTGGGCTGCTGGGTGGCTGAGCCTGCCCCCTTCCTTGCATTCTTAGCACCTGGCTATGCCTGGCACACGAGTGCCCATCAGTAAAAGCTGTCTGCAGAGACAAAGGATTGAGCCCAGCTGCCCTCCAAATGGAGTGTGTGAGCTGGGTCAGCACAGTACGGACCAGTTTTCGGGTGTTCGCTGGCTCTTCCTGCCCGTGGCCCTCCCCCTACCCTCTGCTTTTTAGACAACAGAGAAACAAGAAGTTTGTTCCCACGGTTTTTAGTTTCAAAAGTCTAGATACCCAGAAGCACAGAAAGTACTGAGAACTTAAGTCACCGATAACACATTTGGGAGAAAACATGATGAACAAGAGTTAGGCTCCCTCCCCGCAGACTACGAAGATCCCCCAGGCTGTGGCGGGAGCGTCATGAGAGCTTAGGTCCCAGTGGGTTCTGAGAGGGGGAAGAGGTGCAGCTACACGAGAATGTGGAAGTGGAGCCAAACAGGAGGAGGATTTGGTTGAGACCACACCTCGTGACGGATGAGTGCAGGCTCCTGAGCAATGAGCCTCTTCCCTAAAGAGCAAATTGACACAGAACAGCAGCTCGGCCTGAGGAAAGGCTGGGGCAGGGAAGGGACAAAAGCAGGAGCCACAACCAACCTTTTTAATAAAACCCAGAGAACTGTGTGCGTCTGTGTGTGTGACATGTGTGTGTGCATACATGTGTGTGCGTGTGTATCTGTACATCCGTATGTGCATATGCACACATGTATATTAATTGTGTGTGCATTTCTGTGCATGTGTATGTATGCACGGTGTTGTGTGTGCGGGCATGTGTGTGTGCACATTCGCTCGTGTGTGTGTGTGTGTGTGTGTGTGTGTGTGTGTGTNGACTCACAGCAGCCCAGCTCCAGGTTGAGCATCTTAGCTGTGGAGGGCAGTGTCACTGGCCCTCACATGTGGGATCCGAACCGGGGTCCTCTGGCGTCCCAAGCCAGTTCTTAACCATCGCGCCACTCGGCCGGCCCTCTGTTCTCTATTTCTGACTCTTAGGAACAGTCTCACCTCTTCCTTAACTCTGAATCCGTCCTCAGAGGTCCCTTCAGCAAAACCAATGAGTCAGGCACCCTTCCTTGACGCAAGCACCCCATGCCCTCAGGACAGGGCCGTGTGAGTTTGAGATCCCAGTGGGCTACTGTGGGGAAGGGCTTGTGCTGGGCAAGGGGAATCTGTGTGATCGCAGGGGTCCTTTTCCCCCTGAGGTTGGGCCATGAGGCCCTCAAGAGTGACAACTTGAGTCAGCGACCAGATTCCTTGAGTCAGCATATGATTACTACAGGACTTTCGGGGGACGCTAGACTACACCAGCTGGGATGGAGTGAAGAGAATCCATGTCTCGAGAACAGTGCGGACAAGATCGATGGCTGCCGATCCTTAGTCCATGTATGAGTGCCCGCCCTTTACAAAGTATCAATCAGTTTGCGGGAGCTTGCGCACACACAACATAAATCCATATCGGCATAAAGTTACCAACTGTCTTTTCTTGGCAAACACTGCCTACTATTCTGACTTTGGATTCTTAAATGTCCTTTCTTTTATGAAATTATGGTCATAACAGATGGTTTAGTAGACACTTTCTGAACCAATACCTCTCTTAAGCAACTTACTAAACCAACAGCCCTTAGTCCCCTGGTGAAACATACTGACTTCATACCTGTGGCAACGGGTAGATTCTTCTCTTGAAGACCCACTCACTTCCGCTCTCACCCTTTAGGGTGCATGTTCAACAAGGGTCAACTGCGTTCGGGCCCAAACTTGTGTAGGCCGGTTATACACGTTAATTATAATTATATAACTTCATTAATTCATCCATAAACTAATCAATTAAGGTTATAAACACAAAGGACATTGACTAGTGAAGTAAGAGTGCGAACAAAAAGAGAACTGTGGGCCGGCCGAGTGGCGCGATGGTTAAGAACTGGCTTGGGACGCCAGAGGACCCCGGTTCGGATCCCACATTTGAGGGCCAATGACACTGCCCTCTACAGCTCAGATGCTCAACAACAGCTCAACCTGGAGTTGCCAGCGACGGCGTATGCTGCAGCCACTGCTGCAGTGGGTTGCCATGGGCTACCGTGTGTAGCCAGCAGCCAGTCTGAGCTGCCAGCAGCCAGTGTGAGCGGCCGTCCAGAAGCCAGCGACTGATCTGCCTCGCCCAGGAAGAGCGCAATGATGGTGCCA